GAAGATAACCTTAGTCGCGGTTGCTTTTGGTTGCTATACCAGAAGCACGCCAAAAATCGCCTATGATATTGTAAAGGTTAAAGCAGAAAATTTATGTTTTTAAAACAGACAAATACCTAAAACGCATGCGCATGTAGCCATAGAGCATGGAAATGTGACCGCAGTATATCGCAGCATTTCGCAGCCGAGACAGATTTCCTAACCTTAATAGTTGTCAACTTTAACGATTTATTTCGAAGCAGAGCGACACTTATATTCTTGTCACTTTATTTTTACGTGAAAACGCATCAATTCTGTGTATTTTTATCAAAATTTGAGGTGAACGGGCTCTTATCAACATTTACCGTTTGTGACATTTCCACCTAGAAAAAAAAAACGTGACCAGAATAAGTTCCCCTCGAAATCGTTCCACTTTTATTTGAAACATTTTTTCGTATTATTAAAAATAAAATATTCTAGATGTTCGATTGTAGTGTCACCTTGTAGGTCTATATAAATCAGAACTTTATTCTTTTGCTGTGACATTAAGTTTTTTCTTCTGCAAAAGTATTAAACTATTAAATAAACTATTAAACGAAATTTTATTAACCATTATTAGGATAATTATTTTTTATAATAAATTACATTTTTAAAATAATAAGAATCTTATTTTAGACCGTACATGTAAGAACACAATACGAACTAGAAATTAAATGCCTATAATGGTCGAAGCTAGATCTTTAATCCCTGATAGCAAAGTCTGCAGAGACAGATTTGGAGCAGGGCCTACTATCAATTTCTGATTGCAGAAAGGCAACAAATTTTACACAGAGTTTGTATTATTTGACATTGTCAGCAAATTGCTATCAGTAATATGACAAAGTCTGTTAGACATGCTATGTCAGTAGATTGGTAGCAGAAATCCAGAGTTGGGAGAAGCGTTATTTTTTCCGTTACTTTTTATAATAAACAATTTGATAATGACGTTGCAACCTTAGCGTTTAGTTATAAAAAATTGCAACGTCATGTTTATTGTAAAAAGTAACGCTTCCCAAATCTGCAGAAATCTAACAAATGCTTCCTGCATAACCTGACGATATATTGAGAACAGATTGAGAACAGTACCTGATTCGAGCATACTCGATTTTTGCCACCAACCTGCTAGCATAGTCTGTTAACAGGCTTTGTCGACAAATCCATAGCCAAATGCGGACAGATGGCTATGGTTTTGTAGTCAAAATCTGATCGAGTTGCCAATTTGGCCCCAAATTGCTAACATTTTGCTATCAGGGATGCTTTAAATAATTCAATGTGAATTTTATATATATATGTGTGTATACTATATGTACATACATGCATATATTTATAGTCATTCGAACTTTGCGCCGAATTGGTTTTCTGGACTTATAAACGTAATTAAACTACTGTAATAATATCACAAATTAAACTATATTGACAAGCAATTTTTAATAATTTGATGCTCAATCAGGCATCATATTAAAAAAACGTTAATGTGCTAAAAAACTGTAAATAATTTATTACGAAAAAGATTACTTCGGCCAGAAGTCAAACTCGGATCTTTTGTATTCCCTACAAGCGTCCTAAGCCTTTAGACTACCGAGGCAAATTTATTTACAGTTTTTCAGTATATTAACATCTTTCCAATATGATGCCTGATTGAGCATCAAGTTATTAAAAATTGCTTGTCAATATAGTTTAATTTGTGATATTATTACAATAGTTTAAGTGCGTTTATAAGTCCGGAAAACCAATTCGGCGCGCAGTTCGAATAACTACAAATATGGTATACATGCATGTACATACATATATAGCATATATGTATAAATTCACATTGAATTATTTAAGCATTAAAGATTTAGCTTTGACCGTTATAGGCACTTAATTTCTAGTTCGTACTGATCGTGTTCTCACATTTTTAAAAGCTATAGATTATTTTTTGTATAATATTGTAATATTATTTTACATCATTATGCGATTATATGATATTTCAAGTTTAAAGCCTTGAAGCAAGCTGTATTCTATGATTTATAATTTGCTGATTTGATTTAGATTCAACATAGAATTTGTATTTTTAAATGTTTGTATATACACGTATTTCCTGTATAACACAGTATCCCCACAATATGATTTTACTCTAACATGCATAGAGGATTGATGCTTTGATATGACTAATGAAGGTAATCAAGTATTATTAGTACAAAAAAGGGAAGGAGACATAAGACTAATGAAGCAGATTTGATTGAAATGACATCTGAGTCAAAATAAAACTAATTCAGAGAATGAGAACTCTGATGAAAATTCTGTTCAAAATTTTACTTAAAAATGCAAAAAGACATAAACTTGGCTGAGAGCATTGGAATTCTATTTTTTAAATATAAAACCTTTCACTAAAAGAGAGAGAGAAGCATAAAAACGTGAATAAACATTTAACTCTATAGGAAATTTATAAAGATGTATAAAAAAATGTAAATGAGTGAAAATTACAGATTTTTTGGAAAATATAAACATTTAAATGTTTCAAAATTTTCAGAAAATAAAGTACATTTTATAATCAAGAAAATTCGTGCTTACTTGTGTAGCGATGAAAAAGAAAGTAATTAGTTTGTACATTATTTAAGGTTCCTGAGTAGTGACCACAGCCATATTTCGAATCGTAACGTCAGAAGCGAGGAGTGACACGTTAATTTCTATTACGTGCCATTTACAAATAAAGACAATTTAAATAAAACAATGATGAGATTGCTTTAAAACATTTGTAAAAATGGACGAAAACTATGCTTATCCTCCCTGATAGTAAATAATCATAAAAGTAATAAAAGGTACGTGTAAGTGAACTAGGCTACGCATGCGCATTGAATATGTATAAGCACTTCACGAGCCTTTTATTATTCTTACGATTATTTACTGACTGTCAGGCGGGATAAGCATAGTTTTCGTCCATTTTTACAAATAATTTAAAGCACTCTCATCATTTTATTTTATCCAAATTATCTTTATTTACAAATAGCGCGTAATAAAAATTAACGTGTCTTTTCTCGTTTCTGACGTCATGATTCAATATGGCTGTGGTCACTACTCAGGCTGTGTGTTCCAAAATTGACTGCCAGTACTTAAAATCTATAGTGCAAGTAACGTAAACTGTAGCATTTTCTGTGCTGGCAGTAAATTTGGATCACAGCCTCAGAAGCCTTAAGGGGGGAACCTGGTTTAGAGGGTCAAAATTTTCAAAATGGAACAACTGCAACGGAACGCACTTATAATCATACCCCCATTTTTATAATAAAAAATCAATATTATTTAACAAAAAGAATTATTTTTTAGAGTTGAAATGTGTAGTAAAACGTCCTTAAAATTTGGAAACGATTGATTTTATGTTATTTGAGAAAAAAATTCTAAAAAATTATGTACTTTTGGCCCTTCTTCATCAGGTTTCCCTTTAAATATTGTACGTGCTAATTATTTTCTTTTTCACTGCGCAATTAAGCACGAAAGTGTTTTCAAAAGTTAACGTGTCATTTCCCATAGTTATAAAACCAATGTGTTTTATTAGTTTATGAAATCCAAGTTTGTTTGTTGTATTAATTTTTGATCTCTTGTATAACACGATTCCGCATAATATGGTATTTCTTAAAAACCTAACTGCCATATTATCTGTCTGTACGTATTTTAATGTGTATACTAGTTTCATGATCTTTATGGTTATAGATTTTAAAGAACAAATGACATTATAAATACAATTGACAAATTCTTACAAATTTTAAATTATCTAAAGAGAACTTTACAGAATTAATATTTATACTTTCAGGTAATGTAACTGATACAATTAAAATATCCTGCCTATATCAACCTCCCATGAATCAACTGTGACAATCTTTATCTCTTAATCCATATAATAAAATTAAAAAATTAAATTAAAAGTTAAGCAAAGAGCATCTTAAATTATACAATATCTTGACTGAAAAGATATCTTCTATAAAGATAACAGTATTTTTCTTAAAGACAAATATTGCTTTGCAAAAATGGTGAAAGAACTATCAGATGAATCTTCAAAAGAGATACAACGAATAAATTCAGAACGAAGGACTCATTCGTTTAACGAAGAATTCATTCGCTTGCCATCTGATAATCAGCAAAAACCGATGGGCAAGGTACAAATGAAAAAGCAATTAGGCCTTTTGGAAGGAGTAGCTATCATATTGGGAATTATATTTGGCTCAGGTATATTTAACTCAAATTTTCAATAAATAAAAATTCAAAATAGTTTTTAAAACTGCAGCGTACTCTTATGTATTTTATGGTTTTGTACAATTGTATTGAATTTCTGCTAAATTATATATATTTGCAGGCATTTTTATTTCACCAAAGGGAGTAATACAAGAAGTAGGTAGTGTAGGATTATCTCTGATTATATGGGTACTTTGTGGCCTGCTCTCTATGGTAGGTGCCTTATGTTATGCAGAATTGGGTACTAGTATACCTCGCAGTGGTGGAGATTATGCTTATATTCATGAAGCTTTTGGCGCATTGCCTTCATTTCTATATTTATGGGCTGCTAATTTAATTTTTGTGTAAGTAAATTTCAAATTAAATTTTATTAATCAATGTATAATATTGGTAGAAAAACATATCTTTATTGCTTACAGACCTACAACAAACGCTATCATGGGACTGACATTTGCTCAGTATGTTGTACAACCATTTTTTCTTAATTGCGACACTCCGGTTTATGGTGTGCGATTAATCGCTGCACTAAGTATATGTGAGTTTTTAATGTTTTGTTAAAGATCATCATCATCAACTTCTAAACGGATTAGGCTCTACGACCTATATTCCTATTCAACAGTCCATTTCTTTCTTAGACGTCCAATGTCTCGCCTTCCTTTGGGTCGATAGTTAAGTGCCATCTTTGGCAATCTCGCGTCTTCCATGCGAATTACGTGTTCATAGTACCTCTCTGTATTTTCTCCTCCATAGTGTGGACTCCTAAATCCTGTCTGATGGCGTCATTTCATATGCTCTTGTACATCCTCTAACACTTCTCAGAAATCTCATCTCCACTATTTGGATTTTCTTTGCATTCTGTTATCTCATCACTCAAGCTTCGTATTCATATAATTATGTTGACACAGCCATGATTTTATAGAACTTTAAGAGAGTTTCCTTTCTGCATTGGTTGTCTAAAGCTCTTCTAATTGTTCCGTATATTTTTATGAGTTCCTCAGTTTATTTTCGATATCTCTATTGATAGGTGATCTTGTAGCCTAAATATTTGAAGTGGAGGACTTGTTCCAATGTTGTATTTTTCAAACTTATTTTTAATCCGATGCTATTCTTGCCATGAAATGCCATTATATTTTTTATTTACTATAACGTAATCAATTAGGCTCCATTGTCATCTGATTATCCATGTGTATTTGTTGATCCCACTTTCTAAAAAAAGTGTTTATCACTTTTAAATTATTGATAGTCCAATAATGTCGCAGTCTTCTCCTATTGTTATTAACTGTCAGTTGTTCCTGATTTTCTATGACATCATCGATCGTTCCCTACTTTCACATTTAAGTCTCCTGTTATCACGATATAGTGGCTTTTGTTTATTCCATTGTATGTTTTTATAATTTTCTGTTTCTTCCTTTTTCCCTTCCTCTGGGGCACAGACGCCCATAATACAGAAGTCCCCTACATATTTGTAATAATATCGTTTCTCCATCTTCTACCTATTAATACCGCTACTTCTGCTTTCGCTCTTTGATTCTGAGGTACTCCGCTTCAAATCATAATTTTGTTGCCTATATCATGGTTCCTTTCAGTTTCTTCTTTTTATTTCTGATAGTACTAATTATCTTCCTTTTGTCCATTATTTCTATTATTTTGTCTTATTTTCCTGACAAACTATTCCTGATGTTCCAGATAGCAATCTTAATATTTTCCTCTTTCTATATCCGTATCCATAGCCCTTTGTTGTCTTTGTTTCTGTCCTGTCCGAGGCTGCTGAGGAAATTCTGAGTATTGTTGATGATCGCAGAGTTGGATTACCAGTCCTACGTTGGGTCGGATTTTTTATCGATCTTCTCTGATCTAGATCCAATTTATTTTGGAAAAACAGTGTCACCTCGTGTAGGATGTAACTTCATTATGCACATTGGTCTAACGGAAATTCCGGTCATTAGAGCTCTATATTCGCAAAATTAAACTCTAATTACCGCACCATCTGTTTAAGATACAGTACATAATTATTTTAATGTAAATATGCGCTTAAAAGTAAATAACCACTCGCGTGGATATATTTAAATACAGGATGGATACAGAAAAACCCAGTTTATAAAAACTCACTGGGTGCTTTTGTACAAAAACCCAAATGCAAAAATCCAAGTACAAATTATAAAAATCCAGATGCATGTCAAATTTCATTGTTTTGTATAATATACCTTGGCATTTTTAAACAAAAACTGAATAAAAGTAACATATTTATCACTTAATTATCAATTTATTAAACTCATAATACATATATAATTAAGTTATATAAGTTATACAATATATATAATGTAACTAAATAATTATATCAATCTACGAAAAAATATAGATAATATTACACTTAATAATTGCAATAGTACTGTAAGGTAGACTGTTACCAGCCTGATTTAAAAATTAACATAAATGGTATTAATAAAATCTTGGTCCTAAATCCTGTTAGTATCTGTTGGACAACTTTTTGAGGTTATGTTTTTGTCGAACAGATACTACACTTTTAAAACAATAGATGACTGTACTAAAGTCCTAGAATAAAAACTCACAAACTACAAAAACCTACAAAAATTTAGGTTTTTCTGAAAAAACTGTGTTTTTGTCAACCTTGTTTAAACATAAATATAGCTAAATTTAAATAATTTAAATATAATTAAACATATTGCTTGAGGATGGCTTTATTTAATTTAATATATAAAATCTACTGTGTTCACCCATGTAGGTTTCCTCACTTTCCTCAATTGTTACGACGTAAAAGAGACATCAAAAATGCAGAATGTATTTATGTTTGCTAAAGTTGGGGCATTAATGATTATTATTATAGCTGGATTAATCTGGCTTTGCATAGGTACGTTTCTTAGTAAATCTTCCAATTCTTAATAAAATTTTAATCGTTTACTAAAAATATTATTCTTTTTAATCTGTTATGTTAATTAGGACACAAAGAAAACTTTGAAAATAGTTTCGAAAACACAAACATCGATCCTGGAAAAATCGCTGTAGCTTTTTACTCTGGTATATTTTCTTATTCAGGATGGAATTATTTGAATTTTATGACGGAAGAACTAAAAAATCCTTATGTGTAAGTTACAAAGATGATTAATCTTTCTACTATAAAAAAAAGAAAAAAATCGAAACTTCGATATCGATTTTACTCCTTAATCATCAAATTAATTGATTGACTTCTCAACAGAAATTTACCACGTGCAATTTACATATCACTGCCGCTAGTGACCTTAATATATGTTATGGCAAATGTTGCTTATCTGACCGTTCTAACTCCGACTGCTATGATCGCTTCCAATGCTATCGCTGTGGTAAGTAATATTTTTATTCAATGTACAAGATGTCCGGTAATGACCATATTATTTCTTATGGGCTGATAGAGCGAAATAAATTTAGTATCAAAGTCTTATACCATTTTGTCTTTTAGTTAAAAACAAGGATTCGGACCAAAAAATTTTGGTCCGGATAACGGTCCGAAGCTAAATCCGACTTTTGGTTCTAATTCTTTTATCGTAACAGGTCGGGTCCATTTGGATTTCGATCCTTTTCGATCTTTTTTAATTTCGGTAATTATACCTGTAACGGTCACTGTTGTCATTGAAAAAACTGGAACCGACACTGTAACCGAAAGTTGAGTAGCTTCGGTCCATACGTGATTCGATCAGGCCGAAATTTTAATCCATAATGCAATTTCGGTCCGAGTTCCTGGAAAAAGAAATTAATTAATAATCACCGATTGAGCGCGTAATCTTTAGGAATTAATTTCTTATTAACTGTTACGAAAATTATAAAATGGTACCAGAGGACTTTTTGACTCACAATCAGTTTAGTCTACCTACAAAAGATGATAGATTTGTTCGCGTCGCATGCTCCAACATGTTCCAATATGCTCCTACCATAGCTCTTACTCACTCCAACGCGCTTGATAGAGTGAATAGGAGCTATGGTAGAAGCATGTTGGAGCATGTTGGAGCTTGCGACGCGAACAAATCTGATATGGACCGAACATCCTGTGTAACAATTTATTAGTTAGATTTCAGTAGCATGTATTATCAAACATATACAAAATTTAGTCTTTTTATTAGACTTTTGGAAATCAACTTCTCGGATATATGGCTTGGATAATACCTGTAATGGTAGCTGTGTCTGCTTTTGGTGGATTGAGCGTTCATATTATGACATCATCCAGAATGTGCTTCGTCGGTGCCAGAAATGGCCACTTTCCCTCAATGTTAAGCCACATCAATATGACTAGATTCACACCTATGCCTGCTTTAATATTTCTGGTGTGTACAATGCTAAATTATGTCTGCTAATTAAATTTTTAAGGCTTTTAATCTTTCTTATAACAGCTATATTGAATTATGACTTTAGGAAAACAAAAATTAGGAGTTTTCTTATTTTTTTTTTATACGTTAAAATAAATTCTTTTCTTTGTATCATAAATCAATCTTTTCGCATTTGCAGTGTATTCTATCCCTCATAATGTTATGCACGGGTGATATATTTGTACTGATTACGTACTGCAGTATAGTAGAATCATTCTTCATTATGATCTCGATAGCTGGAATTTTATGGCTGCGTTATAAAAGACCTAATATGGAACGACCAATCAAGGTAATGTACTTCACATACATAAAAGTATTAAACAGTGTATATACAAGGTATTATCGTATAAGTGGCCACCACTTTTTACCTTATAAACTAACAGAGATAGACCTAATAAATACATGTACTCTCAAATTAAACTTTATTGTAAGGCTCTTTACTTTAGCTATGAATCAAGCTTAGCTCGTATTTCTGTTGTTTTTATTGTTTTAATTTTAAATTATTTGAGCCATTTTGTATCAAGTTTAAAACTAAAAAATTATAGAGGTCTTTTGACTCAATTTAGTATGCTCTATCTGCATATGAAGTGTGTGTGTATATATATATATATATATGTGTGTGTGTCATTGAAACTTCTCAGATACCATTATGGATACCTATACTGTTCGTAGCATTATGTGCTTTTCTGGTTATTGTACCATGCTACCAAAGACCATATGAAGTTGGTATGGGCATTCTGATCACTGTGTCTGGTATACCCGCATATGTCATCGGTGTTGCTTGGAAAAGCAAACCATTGTGGTTCCAAAAAATTAACAGTTCGTAATTCTTACAAATGCAATTGATTAAGTTTATTCATTATTTATACATTTATTTAAATTTTCCTACACTACTTCTCTTATGTCATTAAACAATTCTCTTATTCTGAACTTTCTTTGCAGTCAATTCTGTGTGCCTTTCAATAAGCGACACAAATAACACGGTGTGACAATGAATCATTATATCCTTGTTTGCCAATTTTAAACAAAAAAATGACATGATCACTGTGTCGCACTGTGTCGCTCGTTGGAAGACACACTCTAATAGCAAATGGTAATGTTTTTATTGCATATAATAATATTGCTATTTGCGTATTTAAGTAACACACACAAATATAAAGTAGAAAAACAGCACAACAGAGATTACAAATTTACATAGAGAAAAAAATGAAAAATAGAAAGGTTCAGAATATGTCTGTTTAATTATGTATTTCATTTATTTTTCTATTTTATTTTCAGTTAAAGCTACTCACGCTGTACAGAAGGTATTTCTGTCTGCAAGGGAAGAACTTGAAATTAATTAAATAAACGGCAATTCTACTTCATCATTCAATTCAATTAATTCGATCGAATACGATGTTATACATTTGCCAAATTATTTTAAGATTTCAGAAAAACCAATTTATGATTTTACATATAGGAATCAAAATTTAAAAATATCAATAATCTAAAAAAAGCAAGAACATATAAAGAATAATGAATACAACCACAGAGAATCCTAAAGATATTTATTATACTTATCTAAAAATTACATAACAGTAAAGAAGAATGTGAAAAGTGAAAGAATATTACGTGATATACTGTTTATAGAATTGAATAGATCTGATAATTGCATTTTGATTTTCAATATGCCAAAGGATTCAATATATCTTTTGTTTTTGTGTGCTACAGTATTATTAATATTATTCTTTATTAATTATATTGATTTACATTTTTGATGCTATTATATATATTATATATATTAAGTATTTATAATATACTAATATGTGAAGAAGTTTTATAAGCAGCTTTATATTGCAAAAGCTGTATTTAATGTCAGTATATCGTAATAGAAAATATAAATGTATATATTAAATTTGTAATTACGAAAGAAGATTGCATTGTAAATCCCTTTCTTGCTTAAGCCTCCTATTCTCTTCGACTTTCTAACTTCCTAGAGCAGGTCTGTTTAAAACTTGGCTTGTGAGCCAAAACGTTTCTACGCCTTCGCCGTCTCGGTAGAGCGATACAAATCATTCTGTATAAGAACGTTGCTTAATTTACAGGGTGCGAGGGACTAATTGTTACTAAGAAAAAACGCCAATACTGACAATTATTGACATTTTTATTTGAAATTTTCAGGAAAAAATTGAAAAATGATTTTATTTCACTAAACAAACTCATGTTCGATGATACCATCCTTGGCCTTGATGATAGTATTGAGTCTGCTGGTGAACGCATTGCACGCTGCACGAATGTGGGTTTGCGGAATTAGCTGCCATTCTCAGCGAAGACATGTTTTGAGCGCGTCTAAACTTCGATGTTTTTTTAGAGGACACCCTGGCCTGCAAAATACCCCTTCGCCAAAACATATCTTCGCCGAGAATAGCAGCTAATCCCGTAATCCCACATTCGTGCAGCGTGCGATGCGTTCATCAGACTCAATACTATCATCAAGGCCAAGGGTGGTATCATCGAACAATGAGTTTGTTTAGTGAAATAAAATCATTTTTCAATTTTTTCCTGAAAATTTCAAATAAAAATATCAATAATTGTCAGTATTGGCGGTTTTTCTTAATAACAGTTAGTCTCTCACACCCTATATCTCTGGTTATTTATTTCGGCTGAAGAATCCTCTTGACGAACCGTTCAACATCCCACTTCATTTCGCTCTGTGCCGAAAACATAGAACGTTACAACTTTTTACGCTCAGTACCTTCGCTTTCTCTCTTCAATACTCGAACATATGATTATCCGTTTTAAATACAAAAACTTTGGGAGATTTCAAGCAAGCAGACCTATTGTACTTTTCCGTTCTATTTCATTAAAAGAATTCTAATTATTGTTAAAATTGTTGAGATGGTAAAAAAACAACATAAAACTCTTAAATCGTTTTCGAAGTTGCTTTGATAAGTGCACATTTATATTATAATTTAGTATCGATGTAATTTTCAGTATTAGATTCAAGTAATTAATACAATAAAATTTCACGATAGGATGACCAACAATAATTCATTTCATTTAAGATTTGAATTAAAAGCCATTATGTATATGTATATCCTTAAGGTGACCCTACATAATCACTAATACTGTCAGTATTACTGATTTAATATCACTGATCAGTATTATTGATTGTGTGAGGTCATCTTATAACAAAATACAAAATATAAAGGACATGTAAGAGTCAATTATAAGTTGTTTAAAGTTATTTAAGTCAAGACAATAAATAACTTTAAACAATTTATAATTGATTCTTACATGTCCTTTTATTTATATCATTGTTTTTTAAAAAGAGAAGAGTCCTTTACTATTTATTTTTAGACAAAATATAAATTAGCTGCGTTTAGCAGAATGATTATTTTGCAACTGTTGAAAGTTTTCTTCGTGCTGATTAGATTATACTTTTAGATCTAGAAGAATGGTCCTATATCAGCAAACAATTATAAAATGATTGCAAAACTGTTATGTTCTGCTGAATGCAGCCATAGTTATTTTCATTAAGGTGATTCTTTAGTTAATCGAGTTACCATAGAAATATCTAATTTTTTTATATAGTGAAGTAGCGAACTTGATATGTACAAAATTCTAGAGTAGGATCAGATTTTTTTTTATAAATTAAAGTACAAAATGTTACTGGCTGAAAACTTTTGCACGCCACTGTATGTATATATTCACATAAAGAACACATTTTAAAATTATGTGAAAGGACTAGCTACCTCATTCATTAGTTTTCATTCATAACAGTGTTAACTATAATGGGCTTTCTACAATAAGTCGTAGTAATAGATTAGAAGCAAGAAGCGAGTTGTAAGTGAATCAGTAGTGTGTAATAAGGTAACAATGAGTCAGTAATCAGAAATTGCATAGAGATGGACATGGCCAAATTATATTTCTCACGATTTAAAATTTAGGTTACGTTATAACTGACCATTCACATTATATATAATTATTTGCCTTAAAAATTACCATTCTTCTAATTGGCTGAAATATTACAACGTAACAATCTAATACAGATTTAGTCTAGATGTAAGTTTCCTAAAATTTATGACTTAGAACAAAACTATTCAGAATGGATATTTTGGCTTAAAATTGAAATGTGTAGGTATTTATGCTTATTACCGTTTCTATTCCTCATTTCATTGCTGTTTTGTTATAGTGCGCAACGTTCTGTCTCAAACACGACACTAGTTTGAAATCGTTAAAAGTTTTTGACCTATATCATTCTCTATGTTTAAAAGTATTCTATTGCTAATATTATAAGATACTATTATTCATAATATATTGAACTATAAAAATACATTATGAATAATAATATTAGTAACAGAATATTTTTAAACATATTGACTCAGATCAAAAACTTTTAACAATTTCAGACAGGTCGTCCCTGAGAATCAGCGTCGCGCGCTATGATAAAACAGCAATCAAGTGATGAATAGGAATGGTAATAGGCATGAATACTGACGATTTCAATTTCAAGCAAAAAGTACCCATCCTTGACAGCTCTGACTTATAATTCTGACTTATTACTAATACGATATAAGTGGTCACTAACAGCTTATTGTAAGAAGCCTGTAATTTTATATCATTTTTATCAAACAACAGAGAATAGATACTGGAACCGAACAAATAATTCCATTTCTGTTGTACACATTTGATGCAATCTTGTTAACATCATATATATACTAATTAATGAATGTCTTCTGGATTGAACATTCCCTGTAAACAATTGTAACAAATAAGATTTTTCAAGAGAAAAGAATAAATGTGTTAAATTGAACGATAATCCGCTATCGTTCAATCTCAATCGCAATAAATAAATAAAATAAAATGTCATACTCTAGCACGTCTCAATATGGAATCTTTGCTGGCGTCATATGGATGATCCTTACTTGGAATTTCCAATACAGCGGGTATCGGTTGAGTATGACTATCGATTACATGACGAATCATTTCAGCTACCTGCGATAGAGTACTAAATGTCAGATTACAGAGGATACAAAGTAACATTGTTTTAATATTAAATGAAATTACTTTTGTTACCATAAACAGAGTACAATTTAATAGATCTGTTTGCATTGCTTGCACTTTTTACATTTAGAATCTTTGCTCTCTTTTCTCAATACTCAAATATATATTTCTCATTCTAATTGCAAAAATTTTTAGGAATAGCAACGCAAACAGACCTTATGTTAGGATTTAAAAAAAAATTTAAAAATTACCGACGAAATAATTATCTACTTACATTCTGGTTAATAAGAATGATGTCAATGTCATCACGCTTGATAAATCGCTTAAAAGTATCCTCTACTTCACTTACTGCTGTGTCTATAAAAATCATTATTTTATATTAATGTACAATGTACATTACCTTAATATACAGAATATTTTTCATAATAATTATATATAATTTTGACTCATTATATTTCTTTATGGAGCAAAACAACAATAAAGAATAATAGATTATCTAATCTAAAGTAATTAACCAATTAGCCTGTCGCTTTTTCAGAAATAATGAGGAATACTTAGCTGTTGCATGCTAAAGTATTTGCATTATGATATGTGACTAATACATACTTTTGTCGACAACCATAAAGTTAGCTTGACGATGTTTATTTATCTCTCCAACTCCACCTAGCAAGAAGCCTACGCAAGTATCCTGAAATAAGGTAAATGTTCAGAAATACTACTCCATCAAAAACCACAGTTTTGTCAATAATTAACAAAATTAAAAGAAATTGGAAAGAATAAGGGCAATAGGAGTCCGGCGCAGAAGACGTCGCGCAAATAATACACTTATAAAGCGTAAAACTTCTTTATTCTACTAAACGCGCTTACATGTTTCGGTTCACTTTTGAGCCTTCTTCAGAGACAACACAAACTAACATATATAAACTGTGATTAAAAGTTATCTTGTCATGGTGAGTTCCCCCTACATCAAGAATATAAATGCCAGAAATTAAACCCAAATAAGAATGAAAGAAAAAGAAAAAAGAAAGGAAATATTGGAAATATCGAAATAGAGAACATGGAAAACTAATTTATCAAAAAACTTTAAGATTATAATTAATTATCTCGAAAATAACGACGCTCACCATGATCACAAAGCACCATATCGCAAACATTACTATTAATAATTCAAAAACCGGTTCTTGATATGTTGGCCAGTCAGTATCAGACACAGTGAGTCACTTAGATTTAGCTAATATTTTTCAAGATTAAGATTTTTCCATTTGTAATCTCGATAAATTAGTTGTCCATATTCTCTATTTCGATATTTCCAATATTTCTTTTCTTTTTTTCTTTTTCTTTCATTCTTATTTGGGTTTAATTTCTGGCATTTATATTCTTGATGTAGGGGGAACTCACCATGACAAGATAACTTTTATTCACAGTTTATATATGTTAGTTTGTGTTGTCTCTGAAGAAGGCTCAAAAGTGAGCCGAAACATGTAAGCGCGTTTAGTAGAATAAAGAAGTTTTACGCTTTATGGATGTATTATTTGCGCAACATCTTCTGCGCCGGACTCCTATTGTCCTTATTCTTTCCAATTTCTTTTGATTTATAAGGAATCTATGTTAGTTTGATTTGTTATACGGATTTAACAAAATTAATTATAAAAAGACATGTATATAATGTTTTAAGAAGGAGGGTATGGTTCTTATGGAAAAAAAACTGGATAATTGTATTGCATATATATAAAATTACAAATATCAATTTCATGTTAATTAAATCTACTGTTTACAGTAGTTATTCAAATCTTTCACCTTATTAAATTGATGAGTCTGATATACTAAAAATGAAAATTTTATGGAAAAAATTAGCAAAGATCCTGATAAATGTTCAAAAGGAGTACTACTCCATCAGAAAACACTTTTTTTTTGAGTAATTAGCAAAACTAGTAAAAAGACAAGTATTCAATGTTTTAAGAAGGAATTTATACCTCTGCTATAATTTTAAATTAACTAAGCAGTGAATATTGTATATTATAGATACAATTTTTAAATTAAACTATTCTCTGCTATAATTAAAATCACATGAGAAAATACATACAATTGTCAAATTTAAGAACAATAAGTCCTCTCTTAAAACATTGCATATAAATCTTTTTATAACTAGTTTTTTATAAATACTGAAAAGAATTTATCGGATAGTACTTCTGAACATTTACCAAAAATACTCTCAATTGTAAAGATAGAATAAGATTACAAAATATGTGATATTTAGCATTACAGAATTATATTGAATGGAACAAGCATATACAAGTTGTTAGTTGTTAGTTTTATTTACTATAGCAATATAACATTTATATATATATATATAATGCATACTATAATTTAATCGTATATATTATTATGCAGCTGCTGACTGCGGACACCAATGAAACCAACTATGAGAACAAAACATTAAGCTCACGATTCTCTATTGAGTCTTTAGAGAACATCTCCGATCAGATTATGATTATAATTTAACATTTACATTTACACTAACCTCATCGCCAATTACCGCTAAAAGTTTACCCTTTCCTGCAGAGTGAAGTGTCATTGTGTGTCTTGAAAATAAATTAAATCTCACGAAAACAGCTTTCGCCTAAAATTTATTCTAATGTCGTTTGCACATCAGCTGACGAAACGTACCATAGCTCGTCACGTGCCTAGTTTACATCGTGTACTTGATACGGAAGCGTTTGTAGCGTCAAGTGGATCGCAGCCACGGATACTAACTAGTAACTTTCTATTGAATTATCTTAATTTTGGCGAAACGTGTAAACATATACATGATATGTGTATTTAATTAATCATTTTAATGTCTATTCTACCAATTTAGTACATCATTCTTTAAATACATTGCTGAAATTAAAATAATTTAATAGAAAGTTACTAGTTAGTTAATACGCATATCAAGTGCTCGGTGTAAAAGGGGTCACGTGCTATTGTCACATTTGCACAGTGTTGCCGCGCCTCTGAAAAATTTAATTACTAGATTTCTATTCCAAAAATTACCAGTTTTCACCAGCCATCATGGCCCGAGGGCCGAGACTGATGAGTGATGTGAGTGATATCATAAGTTGTGAGTGATGTCATGAGTTATGTTATTCGAGAATTGTTATTTTCTTAATCAGTAAAAAAAGGTTGTGCTATCATCGTTGAAAGGTACGTACATTAAATTAATCTTATTCGTATTCTTAATATTTAAACTTTTTGTTGTCTCAGAAAAAATATGCAATTATAACCTAGAATTGAACTAAGTAATCAATGAATTGCATCTTGTTATAAATATCGCAATATCTTTTTAACAATTATTCGGAAGACGCTCCTTACCTTCAATTTTAATGAAATTCGATGCGTTTTTGCATGAAACGAAAGAATCTGGCTAAAATGTTGGCTCAGTTCCGAGACGCGAGAAATTAATCGTTAAAGTTTTTTTTTCGTTGAAGTTAACTATTGTTGGGTTAGGAAATCTGCAACATCGATGGCATAGAGGGTTACATAAATTCTGTTTTATAAACACAAATTCTCTGCTTTAAAAACACAAATTTTCTACATAATTTTTGTTTTTACAGTACAAAAATGCGTCGAATGAGCATGATTTTATTGAAATTGAAGATGAGAAGCATCTTCTGGATAACTACCATCTTTTTTAATGAAAAAAATTCATAAATACACAAGTTATTAATAATTATACACTTTTATATTATTGAAAATGATATCATAAATATCTACAATCAACTTTTATCTGATTTTGATAATTTTAAAATTGCTTCTTGACATTAAATCCCAGTTATTTATGTATATTAAAATTGCATAAATGTAAATTGGAAATTTTGAGTAGAAGAAACAGTTGATAGTGATAACTAAAGATAGGAAAATAACTCAATATTTGTAATGCAGTTAGAGTTACTTTTTTCAATTTTCAACTTCATTCCTTTTCCCATTTATAACTGTAAAGGTGAACGCACATAGAAGTAGAAGTAAGCAGCAAGCAGTAAGACGTACGAAGTAGGCAATTAACGTTACCAGTATATCTATACATATGAAAGATGGCGGTCTTACGTCTCATTGCTTACTGCTTACTTCTACTTCTATGTGCGTTCACCTTAAAAATATAACTTAGTTACATTTTGGTAATTAAAGCTTATTCTACAATAGCCTTAGGCTTAATTATAAGTGGTTGTAGTTGCAAGAATTGATCAATCAAGTAGAATATAAAGAGAACTGTGATTATGGTGATTATGGTCAATTCTTACAACGAAAACCACTTATAACTACGCTTATGGCTATTGTAGAACATATTAGGCATTATGGTTAAAATTACATTAATCTGTTTTTATTGTACAACAAATTTTTTAAGCTCATTGATATTGCTATAAGAAACAGATCCAACAACCTCTTTGTCCTATAGCTAATTTACATGCTTGAAAAATTTATCATACAACAAAAAACTGATAAATATATTAGTTTGATAACTAATTTAATAATTACTTTTAGTTACTTTATATCAACTTATTATACAAGATGTTCCGAATTTAAATGGCCAAACTTCAGGAGCGTATAGGGCATAGGGAATTGATGAACTAAGAAAAAAAAAATCCTTTAGAGATATGTTTGGTTTTGCTTTTTGTTTTGGAGAAATTTGCAAAAAATAGACAAACCCTAATTTTTATTTTTGTACTTATTTATTACTTATTCATTTACACTTATTTATTCACGTTGTCACTTTTTAAATGTAGATATTGTTAAAAATGTTGACTTTTTGCAGCAATGCAAGAGGCCAATATTCTTTCATTTTTTTGTCCGTGTTAGATACATTGCATCTAGTATGGACAGCTCGTGTTGCAGCCAAATACTGATCTGTTGATATTTTGTGCATCGCAACCAGTCTCTCGATCGCTTTCTTGAGTCGACTGGCAACGAATAAACTTTCTGCTTCAGGGCCCTCCCACACAAAGAAGTCCAGTGATATCAGATCAGGTGATCGAGGTAGCCAAGATACTACTTCTCTACATCCTGTCCATCAATATAGATATTGTCTGTTTAGCAAAGCTCGAGTTTGCCATAATGAGCTGGGCATCCATCAAGCTGAAACCACATTTCAATCCGTTGTTGCAGGTGAATGTTTTCTAAATATAATTAGAGAAGTCGTTCTTCAACAAATTTGTGTATCTGGCTGTATTTAATTTGTCAGATAAAAAAGTATGGTCCCACTAGAAACTCACTACAAATTCTGAGCCAAACATTAACAGCAAATTCATGCTGAAAATTCATGCTGTATTCTCTAATAGTCCTGGAATTTTCATGAATCCATACATGACAATTTTTTTGATTAATAATTCCTCTTGTAAATGCAGTTTCATCTATCCACACGAAACGAAGCAAAAACGAACATATCTCTAAAGAATTTTTTTGGTTTATCGATTCTCTACACGCTCCCGAAGTTTGATCATTTAAATTCGGGACATCCTGTATAATTTGTTTGCTAACATATGAGCTGAAAATAAAGTATTAAATAATCAGTGATTATTTCTCGTGATTAGAACATATGTATCTTTATTCCTAATCATCACACTCTGTAAATATCTGCATTAAGAATTACATTATGATCCTTATAGTATGTACATAAACTTATTTTATTATTAATCTTATAATTTTGATTCCAAGTGTATATATTAATTTATTGTAAATAATATAGCGTATAATTGAATGTTTAATACAATAAAATAATCTGGTAATGTTATATAAAAATGTATCAAATTCTTATATTTAAAATAGCAATGCATAGAAATTATAAAAAATTAATAAAAGAGTAATTGAAAAATAATAAATCATAATTGTAACTGTAACATTTCAGAAACGTTAGCTAGTTACTTTTTGAAAGAAAAATACTGCAACTAGTTTCACAAGTAACTTTCTCAGTCGTACTGAAAATACATCAAGAATGTTCTCAAGTGGGCCAAACTATACCAAGTTGAAAACGCATTTGCGTCTAGCAATCAACCGGCTGAAATTGCTAGAAAAGAAGAAAACAGAGCTGGCACAGAAGGCGCGTCGCGAGATTGCTGATTTTATTGCCGCTGGCAAAACGGAGCGTGCTAAGATCAGGGTAGAGCATATTATTCGCGAGGACTACATGGTGGAAGCGATGGAGCTGTTGGAGATGTACTGCGATTTGTTGTTGGCACGTTTTGGTCTTATCCAGCAAATAAAGTCAGTATTGTGGCTCTATGGTCGGTATTCATAGTCTGCTCCTATTTTAAGACTGCCTTAAGTAATATCTTAAGATGCTAATACAGTAATATGGCTCTGAGGATGATATTCATATTCATTCTTATTTTAAATCCATCTGAAGTAATGTCTTAAAGCTCCTGATGTAAGTACTCAGGAGCCTTAAGATGCTAATACAACTTTGTGATTGGCTTGCAACTTCTTAAGATTGTACTTAAGACAGTCTTAAATATATAATGTATATGTATCACAATGACTTGTAATGATAACTCATAAATATAATATAGATCATAAATATAATATAAATAACGTATATTCCCACTCATATTTCCTTCAAACTTTTTAACAAATAAAATCGATTAATAATTCATTAATTAAATAACAATTTACTTTAAAGTAAATTATTATTCATGTATACACAATTCTAATTTATTATCTATTCAGAAATCTTGATGACGGTTTGGCAGAAGCTATATCAACTATTCTTTGGGCGGCGCCTCGCATCCAGACAGATGTGCAGGAAATCAAGGTGATAGCGGACATCTTGACATCCAAATATGGTAAACAATATACAGAAGCTTGCCGGGAAGAAGCAATTCAGACTATATCAGAAAAACTGAAGCACAAAATGAGTGTGCAATCACCATCAAAATTGCTTGTGGAGAAATATTTAATAGAAATCGCCAAGAATTACAACGTGGAATATGAACCGGATCCACAAATAATGGCAGAAGCCCAGGATGCGATGTTAATTGACATAGGAGGGGAATCAAGGAACAATCTGGACACAGCCAGTGGAGGAGGAATACCTCATCCTCTTGGCTTCATAGGTTATCCACAAGCACCTCTATTACCCGATCCTGGATTTCATTCGAGCGTGGTAATTTAAATCTATTTTTTGTTTAAAAAATGAAAAAAATACTAATATAATATGTTTAGAAATTGGCAAGCTGAATTTATGAAATTGTTTAATAATGATTTCTAATAATTTTGATCGTTGCATTAAAGATATCATGTTCCAGGATTCGGAAAAAGATACTCATACCTTAGGATTTGTATCCCCAACATCTCCACCTTCTATTGAGAAAGATCAGAATACTTCTTTCAATCCCACTACACTTTCGTACAACATACCTCTAGATAACGCCAATTCGAATAAACCCGTAAGTAACTTGTGTTTATTGTCAATAATTTCTTAAATTATATTTTTCTATTGGTATAACAGTGATAATAAACAATTTTTTTAGTTATAATATTTGAAAAATCATTAATTGTAGGAAGATTTACCACCACCGTACCCGTCTGACTTCCCACCTGATTTAAATAAACAGGTGAAGTCATAGAATTATCATCTTTATAATTTTTGCTAAATAATTATTAAAATAAACGAAGATATTTGTCTAAAATATGAAAATATTCTCGTAAAATTCTACTAAATCACAAGAACATAAGTACAATTATATTTTCCATATATAGTCAGATGAGAAACCAAAACCCCAGCCAAGATCCAAGATACCAATAAACAACTATCAACTTCCGGATCTGCCAGCAGTGCCGACAGAGAATAATGATTCGCCCGCGAATTTATCCGTGAATGATGACATTGATTTTGACGACTTGATGAAACGATTCGAGGACCTGAAGAAGAGGAAGTAACGATTAATAGAGAGTTAAAAGTAACGTATGTGTAAAACGTGTTATTTTGTTATCACTTTATCCTCGCAAGGTGTTGTATTTAGTAGTGCCTTGTGCAAAAAGAAAAGGTCTAGGAAATTTATGTCAGTCTACTAAGCTTTTGCAATAAAGAAAATAAAAATATATAATTATGCTCTATCTACGAAGAACGTGTAATCAAATACACATAAATTGTTATATTAATTAACGTGTTAATCTTTTTATCATTATTACATATACTCCATAATATTTATAATAAGTATATATAATATTTTCAAGTTACATTTTTATGAGAATGATCTTCCTATTTCTTACTTCTCATTTTATTTATTTCTTCTACAGAAATTATTAGATAGTCGATTATTAGATGTAAGATATCTGTACAATGTTATCAGTCATCCCAATCTTCGCATCTCTGAAAAAAAAACCAATTGCATTAATTGTAAAAAATATTAAATTCTTTGTATTTTTAAAATTCATTCTCATAGAATTTTTTTAATATCCTTTATTTTTTACTAACTATAATTTAACTTTATTAACTAAAATTTTATTTTTTGATACTAAATTAAACTTCTGTATTTACTGTATACTTATATTGGTAAATATGCATTTTAGGTGACACATCACCGATTTAAGTGTCTTTTAGATATGTTGTAGAGGAGAGTGTTTTAAGTGATTTCCTGCAAAAATTGAGTGGGAGATGGCGTTGGTTTAGGAGATATGATAAATTAAAGTTTCATGATAAAGTCGAAGCATACGACTTTCCACGCAAAGCGATTCTCACCCCCGACTCTCACCTCTCTCCCCTGCAAAGAGGCGCACGATTCTCATCCTCTCTCCCCCCTGCAAAGGGGCGCACGACTTTCAGCGTCTGATCAGTGGATGCTTCAAATCGGTGATGTGTCATGTATATTTACCCTTATATTTTTTTTTAATTTATTCTAAGAAAAGAAAAATTCTAAGATGTCCATACATTTGTTAAATTTAAATTATTAATAACCCAAGGAGTACCAAATTGTACAAATATTTCTATAACTGTTATGCCACTAGATTGTGATCCTTGGAAAATTTGTATACATACTTCCTTTCCTTTATCAATTAAACAAGTCAGGAGATTTTCCGAGAAGTAACATGTGTTCTGTCTCACATCTGAATCCAAATAATGAAAACATTCTATGACAGCTTCCTCTATCAAATCCTGTAATTCTGGATTGTGTGTATTACGTGTCATAAACTGAATGATCGAGACTTGCTCAGGATATCCCCTTTGATCCACCTATTAAAAAACCAGAATTGAGAAAATCAGCCTATCTATTAAGTTTTGAAATAGTCTATATATTTACCATATTTAATTCATTGAAGAAACATTGGGTGATGCACTATAATAAATTTAAATAATACTTTGTGTTAATATAAATTATTAAATTATTATATTGTTATTAAACAATTCTAAAAAAAAAACTATATTAGCTCAAAAGATTTCTATTACGATGAAAAGACATATCATTACTAACTTGGAAACTAACAACAAAAAGTATAGAAAATATTTTAGAATAATACTTATTATTAGAGAGAGATAAAGAGATATTTTTCTTCGTTATTTCTTTAGTTTCATAAGATTAGAGATCAGAAATTTTTAATCTTTGTGTACAGTGTTGTGACTTCTGCACACTGGACGCGGCAAAACGACTGCATTCAGCAGAGAAAGCAGCTTTGCAACTGTTGTAAAATTCTTCAATATGATTAGTTTATACATTTACATCCATAAGGAATTAAAAGTAAGAACCAACTACATAATTGGAGCTCTGTTGGTATATCTTACTTGTTCTTGTTGCTTGCCATAATTCTCAAAGTCGTCATACGTCTGGTCATAGCTCGATCTACCAGCTCCATTGGAATAGCTGGAATCGCGATTATTGCTGCTACGAGAAGAATGACTGCTTTTCCGGTTTCCGTTTGTATAACTAATGGAATAGCGTCGATCGTTAATATGTTTCTCTGATCGTTTCCACGATTCCTTAATTATTACATAAATATTAAGTCGGCGGTACACGATGCTTGTTTTCCTACTGGATTGCTAGTTGGATTAGAATCTTGCCATCCCAATACGTACCGTGGCAAGAATCTAAATCCAGTTAGCAACAAACATCGTGCGGCCGGCTTTAATTATACTGGTTTTAATATTTTTAGTTATTATCTAATCGTATCAAATTATTCGTGGATGATTATTCCATCTTATTTCACTACCGATTCTCATTAGGGTCTTTCCAAGACTGTACATTGGAGAATTTGTTGCCGCCATTCATAACAAAGAACCTTGTGCCAAACAAATCTACGCTTAAAGAGTCATCGTTATCGTCGCCTTCACTCGATGAATCATTATTGCTATGATTGGTATCAGTTTTAGATCGTGCCTTGCAAATCTGCATAACCTTCTGGTATTGATCGTGTTGAACCTGCTGGACACCTGATCTGCATTTTAATGACTGCAAACATATAAAAATTTGTTGAAAGAATTGATTATTATGTATTTTTAGTCTCAGCGATGCTGTAACCTTCAAGTCTCATAATGCAGAAAGCTTGACGCTTAATTGACTACCAACGAGATACTGGGTGCGGTTCACTTGATGATTCTACATTAGTCGCATCGCAGCGTCGCAAGGGTAGCAAAAACAATAAAAATCGAACATTTAGCAAAATTCGCTAAAGTTTTACTGAAAAGAATTCCAAACTGAATAATAATTTTAATGAAATTTCAATGAAATTTTTCTATTGGGGAAAATGGGAATTTCCATTTACAAATTCCAAAGTGATTTTTATACGACCTTAAGATTTAAGATTACAATAACATCGCTACGTAACGCGTTATTTAAAATTTTACAACTTTTATAGAACATTTTTCTCAAAAATGCTTTATTTTCGTGTTATTTAACCATTCTGAAACTTTTGGAATATCTATATATATTTGTAATTTTAAAATATTTAAAACGTTTATTGGATACAATATACAGGGTGTTTCCAAATTAAATGGCAAAACTTCGGGAGCGTGTAGAGGAGTAAAAAACTAAGAAAAAAAGTCCTATAGACATATGCTCCTTTTTGCTTTGTTTCGCAGGAAATCACGAAAAAAGAAAAAAATATATTTAATTTATTATTTTAATTATTTTATTTATAAACTTTTTAATGAAGATTTTGTTCGAAATGTGCACCTCTTGCAGCAATACAAGCATTGCATCTGTCAAACACGGCTCTTGTAGCAGCCAGGCACTGTTCTTGCGATATTCTGTTCGCTGCAGCTACGATACGATTTCTCAAATGTTGCTCTGATTGAATAGGCGAAGAATAAACTTCTTGCTTCAGAGTACCCCATGCATAGAAATCTAATGGCGTTAAGTCGGGCGAACGAGTTGCCCAATGTACTGCTCCTCCACGTCCAATCCATCGTTGTGGGAATTTTCTATCTAACCAGGTTCTAGCGACTCTGCTGTAATGAGCAGGGCATCCATCTAATTGAAACCACATTTCAGTACGTTGTTGTAATGGGATGTTTTCTAAATAGTCAGAAAATTCATTCTCCAAGAAATTTAGAAAACGGTCCCCATTTAATCTTGCAGGTAAAAAAAACATTTTTTTTCGATTTCTCTGAAACGGAGCAAAAACGAGCATATGTCTATAGGACTTTTTTTCTTAGTTTTTTACTCCTCTACACGCTCCCGAAGTTTTGCCATTTAATTTGGAAACACCCTGTATACTAATAATAAATATTACTATTCCACATTTTTCTCAAAATCAAAAAATAAGTAAATACATTTTATATGACCAACAGATCTCTTTCAATTACTTACATTCGCTGATTCTAACAGCAGCAAGCAAAGGCTGCATAGAACAACAAAAATTATTCTTGTCACCATTTTCATGCGAGCTCTATCCTCTCAAATGAAACCTCCTCACTTTTTCAACATGTATTTATGCAATAGCTTTAAAAATGCCTGTATCACCAGTGAGACAAGTTGATAGAAATAATTATTGCAAAACAAAATATTGTTCCATGCCTCCGGATGGAGACACGCTCGACTACTCTCTTACAATTATTCTAATTACTGATCATATTGCCGTGACCATCGTTACGAGTAAGTCCTTTGTGTGAGAAAATCACTGGATTGTCAAAAAGAGAAAGAAACAAGAAAAGGAAAAAGATCTAATCATGGGGAAAGTGAAAGCTTCGTGAAGGTACCTTCGAGCGATCAATTCTTCAGCAATTGTTCACCGAAGAAGATATAATGTACATCAAGTGCTTTGTAAGTACCTGTATTATTACCGTAAAATATCCTGTGAGAAATGTCTTTCATGAAAAATGATTAAATTATGATATATTCTTCTGACATGAAAATTGTATATACAAGATGAGGATACAGATCGAGGAAAGCAATAGATCACGAAAATGTTAAAGTGATTAAATTATATGTTAATAAATTTCTTGGTAAAAATTTTTCTTAGAAGTCTTTATATAATTTTCACAATTTCTATATAAATTTTAGAACTTGATGTGTGTTCATTTCGAATGTTTATTTTGTATGTTTTACCACAGACAAAAAATGAACCTGTAAAGATTAACAAAAGTGCCAGCCAAGATTTTTATGAAAATAAGATGCAATTTTTCTATACAAATTATTAATCAAATAATCGATAACACAGGCCGACAAAATTTAGGGGGGGGGAGGATCTTGTGCTTTGAACATTAAAAGATGTTTCCGTAGGATTTTGATGCGCTGAAAACAACTATATTGTCCGTTTTTTTCCATCACTCTCCATTTTTTAAATAATCGCAAAAACATTTTTTTTCGGAAGTAACTTTTTATTAATTTTTTCTAGCTAAACAAAGAATGATATCGAAGTCTGTTTTGCAGCATTTAACTCAGAAATGTTAAACGGAAAAAAACGGACAACATAGTCGTTTTCAGCGGAAAATCCTGCGGAAATATCTTTCAAAGTTCAAAGCACAAGACACCTCCTAAATTTTGTCAGCCTGTGTAATTAAAAATAATGTTCAATTTTATTATTTAAACGTTGATGCTATAATAAAATATAGGGGAATAAGATTTAATTTTTTTGTTTTTTGTATTTATAATAATATATTTTGTTGACATTATACTTAGAATTTTTCAGTATATTAACAAAAATCTATCTAATCAACGAAACAGTTTTTAATTCTAATTATTTTTCATATGAAAATCTTAAAAAACGTTAAGTCGAAATAAATTTTGAATGTTCCGAAAACGGAGCAATATATGAATATTCTACTGTTATTGTCTGATGCAAAATCGATTACTGATTGAAAATAATAAACGAAATTCTTAAAAAATAACAAATGAAATTCTTTTGTAATATCTTGCATTTTTAGCTCATATTACATATTATTTTCAAATTTATTCTTTATTCGGTCTATGTTTGTTCCATTTTTCTTATTGCCCTTATTATTTTTATCTCCGAATACAATTCGATGGAATTTCATTAACCTTTACAGGACGGGAAAGCCACTATTAAAGTGGCACTGAAACAATGTCATCTTTTGAGGCAAGAAATAAAATAAAAATAATGAATAACAAATCTTATACAAGGAAAAGTGATAAGACTTTAAAAATAGCTCCCGTTCTCTAAAGGTTTAATTCTTAAAAGAGAGATTTCTATAATATTTAGAAATAATAGAATTGTATTGTAAATAAAAGAATAAAATTATAAGAAGCCAAAATTCTATACCTCTTTAATTATCTAAACTTTTTTTTCGTAGCTTCTTCTAAAACTTTTTTCACTCGCGATTACGTTGCCAATATATGATGATAATACAAATGGAAAAATCACACCGATACATACAAATAATATTTCGACAATTTATTCCGCTATGATGTTGAAAAGGATATCAGACCAATCACCAGATGGAAGTCGAATAGATTTTCAAATAAGGAATCATCGAGGACCAGGAACATATGTATTCGGTTTTGATACTGGACATGGGTAATACATTGCTCTGCCATCATTATAATTGTATTAATTATTGCGTACGTAGAACCAATAAATCGATTAAGGAAAATTTCATACAAATTTTCAAGAAAACAATAATTGAAAAAATCAAAATACGTATATAACTCGTAGAAAAAATAGACAATACATGTCGAGACGGAAGCGTCAAAGGTCGATATGGTTTTTATGATGCCAAGGGGAACCTCAGAATTGTCAACTACATAGCGGGCCCCGCTGGTGGTTATCAAGAACGCCATCATGAAACCATCACTCACAAATCTGAAACTTAACGCTTGTATTTATCTCAAATACTTTTCAAAACTACTAGTTCATGTATACCTATTATCAGACATTTTACGTTCAGTAGAAAATAACTATTGCTGAAATAGATTTTAAATTATGCAGATTATATGGTATTTGACAAATCGCGGTATAGAATTGACCTATCGTTTTCACACCTTTGTAAAGTTTTACAGTGAGTCAAATTGATGCAAATTGATGTTGCCATTCTAAAGCTATCTGATACGAACAAAAAAATATGGAATATATTTTGAACATTATAGAATGTGTTTTATTAATGATAACGTTGGACTAAAAAAAATCATTTTTAACTTTTTTAAAATTTTACGTTAAAACTTTAAAGTGATATTTCTAAAATATGATACTTCCAAATAAAACACATATCCGATTCATTGCCGGTTTTTGTAGAGTGTGCATTTTTCCGTCGTTAAGAAAAGAATCTTAACTTGTGGCTTGAAAAAATTTTAATTAATAATAAGACCAACCTTTATCTAGGTATGTTCCAACACTGATCACAGTTCGATTACACGGTTCGATTTACGCCAAAGTTATAACATCGATTATAACTACTGACGTTAGATGCTGTGTAAACTACTTGACAAAGTTACTACACATTGATGTAATAATTTCATCGTAAAATACCGTTAACAGGACATCTAACATCAGTAGTTATAATCGGATGTTGTAACTTCGGAGTAAATCGGATCGTAAACGTGGTTTATAACCTTATAGGGGCAAAAGGTGGCTTGGTGATTCTGTGCATTAAAACAGATGCCCGTTTCTACCAATGTAGATTAACTTCAATTGCAGTTCAACTTGCATTTCATCTTTTTCTAATTCTTAAAACTAGAAAAACATAAAGAGATAGTTGAACCAAGATTAAAACTAAACTACATTGGAAGAAACGGGCATTAATGATCGAAGCAAATACAGACAGTCAAACATATTGATGATGTAACTTTGCAAAATAGAGAATTAATAAATAATAACAAAACCATTCTCACACATAACGATAAGGTTAAACAGGCAGAAATTAAATTAGCAGCATTTTTTTAAAACACAATGAACCTTTTAAAACTGCGGATTACTTAATTTCATCATTGAAATATACGTATATAAATTCTAAAATTGTTTAACATCCTACATCGTTACAACTTGACAAGGGTATCTATTAATATTTATATTTACTGCCAGTAAATTATTGGAAGTTAATACTTTGCTGATGCTGAATCCATTGCGCATATGCAAAAAAACCTGACCCATATCGGACCCACTCCGAGGCATTTTATATAAATAATTATTGTCTATGATTGGGATTAAATCGTTTATTTAACAATAACAATTGCTATATACGAAAAAAATAACGCAAAAAAGATGTAAACGTCATATAATATACAATACCAAATATATATATATATATATATATACACACACATATGTGTACACACACACACATACACACACGCACGCACGCACGCACACGCACGCACGCACGCACGCACGCACGCACGCACACACATACACATGTATATGTGTATGTATACACAGGGTGTCCTGGAATTTGCGAATCAAAATACCACAGCAAGACAATTTTAGAAAAATGAAGTAAAAAAGTTATATATACAATTTTTATTTCAAGCAGTAGTTTTTGAGATCTAAGGTTTCAAATATAACCAATTATATTTAGACGGCCACCTGTCCACGAATCGAGCATATGGTAGCATTATAGCGTTTTCCCTTAGTTACACTAGTGCAACACTTATATCGTTTTCCACTGAGAAAACTGGCGCAACACTAACGCCGTAGGGGTTTCGATGAAAATTGCACTAGTGTAGTAATAGTGCGGTTCAATGGAACATATCATAAGATATCTATTTTATAACACTCCTAAAAATATATATAACTATGTTCAAACTTAAATTACTTATTTTACAATATTCTGATTTATTTATTTATTTAAAACATTTTTTTAAATTAATTTTTTACATTTCAAGAGTTTTAAACGTCAAAATATCATTGCGTGGCTATTATTAGAAACATCAAAACTAACACAATGTCATTATTACGACATTAATTAGAATAATGTAATACCATATAATAACGTAACATTATATCTTACCACAACCTCAATTTCAACTTGCACTGGTCTCCACTGACTTCAAAGACGGTGACGAAAAAGTTGAACTCAGTGCAAATTTTTGCATCAGTTTTATCAATGGAACATTAAACACCAAAAATATGTGAACTGGTTTTCACAGTGAAACAATAAATTGCACTCAGTATGTACTAATGTTGCACTAGTTCTCCCAGTGGAAAACGCTATTAGACAGTGTAGCGTGTTTCCATGGCTGGCCGTAGACGAACTCATTTGATGTACCGTGTTTCCGTGGCTACGGTGTAGTGTACATTTTATGTACAAAGTAGGATTTTGCTATACCGTTACAACAAAGGAATGATGTGTAGAGCCAGTATAACATTTAAAATTTGAAAAAGAAAATCAACCGGGAGCAGGAAGACTTCACTCAGTGCATCTCAGGAAAAACGCTATTAGTAAACGTGCACTTCAGCGTTCAAACGTAGTCTGCAAGTGATCATATTTAAACTCTTATTATTTCACAAAACTATTACTTAAAATAAAAATTTATAAATAACTTTTTTACTTAATTTTTTGAAAACTTTCTTACTGTTGTATTTTTATTCGTGAATTTCGGAATACTCTGTATATTGAGTATGTGTAAGTTTATGTGTTACATATTTAATCCATACAGAAAACGCATTTGTTGCCCGTGTGCTTGCGCGCACTGAATGGATTACACAAGAGTATAAATCAAATGTATACGTATCTGCTGTATTCTTTTTCGTAATCTTCTTTCTTGTCACTCTTCTCACCCAAATCGTATAATCTGTTTCTTCGATTCTTGTTTTGACACTTCTATTTTTTTACAGGAGCCATCTCTCATTTTTTTTTTTTTTTTTTTTAAATTATTTGTCCTTTTTCGTGTGCTCCGTACCATACGATGAACTCTTGCTTATTTCCGACATTCCGAGAGTTTTGTACATTAGCGCATAAACTGTAATTGAATTTGTTCCGTTTAAAATGATAAAACATTTATATAAAATGAATTGAGGTACCTTTTCTAACTTAATGACATTGTATATACAGGGTGTCTCAGGATGAACGCCAAATATTTCATGTGCTGGTAGAGCGGACTAAATTGAGTCGAAAAGTTTTCTATCATTTTGCAATTATCGCAATAATTAACAAGATATTAATTACTAAACATCGCCGAATATTGGTTTTCAATAATTTTTTACTCAAGTACTATCAACTTTACAGAAAAACAGCAGGTGACAAAAATTGTTTATTTTCTTCTCAGAGTTCTGAAAATTTTTTCAGAATTTTTTTTAGTACATTTTCTCATGTTGGTAAAAATAGTTGCCAATGAGAAATGTTAGTATTGCCACTGCAATACTAAAAAGTTGACAAATAATTCTGAAAAATTCTTAGAACTCTATAAGAAGAAAATAAATAATTTTTATCTTTTGCTATTTTTCTATAAAGTTGATAGTACTTGAGTAAAAAATTATTGAAAACCAATATTCGGCGATGTTTAGTGATTAATATCTTATTAATTATTGCGATAATTGCAAAATGATAGAAAACTTTTCGACTGAATTTAGTCCGCTCTACCAGCACATGAAATATTTGGCAGTCATTCTGGGACACCCTATATACCTATATACATATAAAAAAAAAACGTAAGCAATGGAATAGCAAGCAAATCAAACAATCAGTTTTAAGAAGTCTAATTCAATCCGTCATATATTTGCACACATATATATGTACAAGGTGTTAAAAAAACTATTCAGCATTTTTATGATAAATAATACACACTACTGGGTGCGTTCAGCAGAACGCAACAATTTTGCAACAGTTTTATGATTCTTCTTCTTATTGGTTAGTGGCGCCTCTCATGTATGTTGAGCGGAGACAATGACTGCGTTCAGCAGAACGTTTGTTTTGCAACTGTTGGAAGTTTCCTTCGCGCTGATTGGATCATACTTTTAGATCTAGAAGAATGGTCCTATCTCAGCAGACAATCATAAAACGGTTGCAAAACTGTTGAATCTGCTGAACGCAGCCAATATGGCCAGATCACGTCGTTGAATTGTACGTAAGCGTTGATTGGTGAATAATGTTGTCCTAGCGACCGCTGAATAAACATGTTGAGACGTTGAGTGCATTTAGAACCGTTCAGACAATCACAAAACGATTGCAAAACTGTTGCGTTCTGCTGAACGCACTCACTGTATTGAGTAAAAAAATCTTACAGCATTTTTCACTGGCAGAGCGCATTGAGCACTCACTTGTTAGTGCATTTTAACCCTTTCACTGCCGAATTAAGCTTTTTTCAGCAGATTATCTTGAAACTTTTGTTTACCTACGTTTTTTGATTCACTAATTCCGAATCTGAAGTCAGATTTTGCAAATTCAATATGGCGGATCAAATATGGCCGCCTAGTATCACCTAGTATAAATATATCATCTAGTAAACTAGTGAAAATTTGGATATTTTGCAGTAGATTCATTTTTTGGGGTTCTGATAGAGATATAAAATAAAATGATAAAGATATTATCAAAATTCAAAATAGCAGCTACAATATGGCTGCTTGATAAATATCGGTCATTCCTTTTTAGCGTTATCCAGAGCTAATGACGTAGACATAGGGAGATTCTAGCTCCTCTTTTTAAAATTTTTTGTTTTTTATTTTTTTAAATGTTTTTTAGTTACTTTTTAATATTATGAAAACAAGCAGATACACTGTGAAAAAACTAAAAAAATAAAGCTTATATACGCAAAAACTGAAATCTCGATCGCTTTATCGCAGAATTTATTGTTTATAAAAAAAATCTAACCTGCAACAAAATATAAAAAAAATATGTTTTTCTGCGACATTAGAAGAATATTTGGTCAAATTTTTAGATTTCTATACTCAATACTTTCCAAATTTACAAGGCAAAATCGTATAAAAAAGAAGTGGGAAGTATACTTCCCGCTGGCAGAAAGGGTTAAAGCCGTTATATACAAATCGAGGTAAAAATGTACATTTAATAAAAATATAGAAACGAATTAAACCGCGAAATTCTCAATATATTTTATTGTGGTATTTGATAAAATATACATTGGGTATTTTATTAATTGAGATATCTCACTTCTACATTCAGATTAAGTTAGTGTACAACAGCTTTAATGTGCACTGAGAGCGCACCATTTCTGCCAGTGAAAAACGCTATTAATGAGTATAGGTCAAAAGCCATTTCTGAGATATAAACATGTTAGCATCATGAATTATGACTTATTGGCTTCTACGTTTCGCATGCGATGTTTAATTCAGTGGTTTATAAACCACGTTTTATCTTCATCTAATTTCCATAAATACTTCATAACAGAAGATTTCATCGGAAATCACTTATAACTGTGTAATTGTATCAAATAATACGTTGATTCGCCGGATAATTAACTAATGGTATGTTAAACACACATTTTCTGTCTAATGGTATGTACTCTATATTTACCATATAAATGCTGAATAGTTTTTTTAACACTGTACATGGTGTAAATAATAATATGTAAATAGTACAGGATGTCCTGCAAATACCGGATTATCTTTTAATAGCGTATACTTGAGATAATTTTGAATAAAAAATCCTAATACGAAAATATCAAGACTATAATACTTTTTAAATTAATAACGCGATTAAAGTTTACTAATCACGAAACTAACATTTTGCGCGCTCAGGTATATTGATATAATAAATGATAAAATTGCGTTGACGCGATTAATTTTCTCTAAGGTACACGAAAGTGATTTGAAGCTGAACAATCTACACGCGAGTCAGATCTTACGGTAACATGTTCGGTAGTTTATACAATAAAATTACAAGATAATTTAAATGAATGTATATCGATAAAATTTTTCGTGCAAAATTTTAATAACTTCAAGGTCATTTTAACATAAGATAGTACTATTGGTTTAACCATGAGTGTACATATCAAGGTCATATGGAAGTGCCATTTAAAACCCTACAACTTTCGTCGGAAACATTTTTCAAGAAAATGTACATTTTTTGAAAAATGAGCCCAATATCATCGTTCTGTCTACTATTACACCCTATGTTTACGTGCGCGCACGCAGATGTGAGTGCGTATATGTGTGTATATGTGTATATTCTTGCTACGTCTAGAATTTAATTAAAATATAACTTTTAATGTACAATTATACAATAATTATTTTTTATCAATTCTTCTTACTGTCAATTGCTGAATGTGAATAATATAGTGTAACTAGAGTTGAAAATAATGATAATGTAATTAAGTAAATATAAAGGATACTACTTACATACAAAGATAACCCCGACCGCGATAGTAATACCAAAGATCGAACCAGATAGCAGGAGCCTTAGGAGGTAATATAGCATTGGTACAAGAACAACTATCGCCCAGCAAATGGTGTTAATAAGGGAATAGTATCTTCTTTTTAGCATGAACGAACCTATCCTAGGTACTCCGCTCGTAGCAAAAAAATCACCGGTCTTATAGAAGCTCTCCGTCATACGGTCCTATCAAACAAAGATTTCATCTCGTTACCGCGTCATATTGGGTTTAAGTAATAAACCAAGTCATTTAACAAAGATCAATTCTCTTGTTGTTCTACTCAATTTAATCACAAACTTATGACCTCTTCATCCTAATGCGCAAAGAAAAAAAAGTCCAATGTTTTTTTGCACTTGAAAATACTCAAGTTGAATAAAGTGTAACTTAAGCAAATCAATTACAATACATTATATAGTTCTATCTTTATTGAACAGATGACTACTCAACTCTTTAATTTAATTCAGATTGAGCCTTTTTACTCAAACTTGGAAAATATGTACCAATTACAGAATTATATTTCTATCAAAATAGTACAAACTTTTCCATCTGATTCAAGGAGAAATGGAAATTTAATACTACCTTTTGCTGATAAAGCGTCTGCAGCCATTCAGCAGCGGCTTCGTCTCCTTCCGGTACTTCCTCGATTGGAATTCTTTTAGCATACATATGTCCTTCTACTCGTTTTCCCAAAAGGAGATTCTTCATAGTTGGTTTCACGGGATCAGATGGCTTGAATGCTATCTGAATATCATATATGGCCGTTGCTTTGCCTCTCATATGTGGAATACTGGCGGTAAAGCCCTTTGTGCGTGGCGTTAAATGATATTTTAATACTGGCAGACCTTTTTCGGTGGCAAACTTCTGACTAGCTTCTAGCTTTTTCGGCGTAAAGCGCGTACCCTCGGGATAGAGCAGCAACTATAATTAATTTACATATCCATTTTTATAACTATATAATTATTTTTAACAGAACATCAAATACTTTGAAATCATTAGAATTATTTGCTCCGAATTAGCTAATACGCAAGCGTTTAGATTTAAAAAATGGTAAGACATACTCACCCACATTGTGTCAGGATACTCAACAAGCTCCTTGATTTGATGTTTAATATTCTCTTTATCTTTCTCCCAACTTCTCTCAAGGAAGATACTCTCAGCGAATTTCCATGCCCATCCTAGTGAAGGTATATATTGTATCGACTTCTTAGCATAAGCTTTACAGTTCTAAAAAATATATATTTGTCAAAACAAATGTTCTTGTAGCAATATACATATACACTGCTCAAAAAAATTATGGCATAGAAAAATTGTGGGCAAAAATTGGCCAATTTTTGCCCACAATTTTTCTATGCCATCATTTTTTTGAGCAGTGTATAAATACATTTCGTACGCACACACGCACGAACACACACATATATGTATATACATATATGTATATATAATCATGTATTTAAAAATTTATTTTTAAAGATTACATACACCTAGCAATCTCACGCGATCACATAGTAGCCAACCTATCAACCAATCGGTTTCATAACTATGATTCATCAGAAGGTAGCCATGTTCATTACCGAAATATTTATCAAAGTCCTCCTTATCTATGTATAATACCAGGTCTGATTCTGCCCACCATTCTGCCATAAATACTAATTCTGGTGGAGAAACGTTTAGAATATATTATTTTTTTAGAAAAAAAAAAGAAAAAAAAAGTAATATGAAACAAATAGACTTACGACAGTAAAAGGAATAGCAGAGATAATAGTTGATCTTGCGATAGAAGTACTTAGAAAAGGGCTTCAGTCCAAGGTATAAAATGCATTGGAAGAAATTTATTATTAAGCCGGATGTAAAAAATGTGATGGCAAACAAAAGGTGTACCACCAACCATTGCTTCACAAAGGCAAGAATTCTCATTGTGATAAGCAAATAGTACTAGACCGTATGTTTTATAAAAAACATAAATGTTTGGTTTCTCTGCCTGCAACAGAAGCAAATCGACAAGTGTTTAAAGATAAAAAGATAGAATTGCTCACATATAAAATTCTTTACAATTTCAATTTCTTCATAAAATTCAATAAATACAATTGAGGGGATGGGCCGAATAAAGGCACAATTTTACAATTAGACCCTTTTTCTGGAGATTAACTTTTTTATATAATATTGATCGTAATAGAGAAGTATTGTAACATATAACATCTTAAAGACATTACATACATTCATTTGATACTGTACCTATTTGTGTATAGCAAGTTATTCTAATTTTTATTAAAATCAAGATTTTGTAATTAGACCTTTATTCCGCCCATCCCCTCAATTATAATTATTATACCCATAATTGCCATTATATAAAAGGAAAATATGAAAATTTCAAAATAATGTTTATTGTGTATGACATTAGACAGTTATATGTGCAAGTATATACAAACAACTTGCCTGAGAGCGAAAAAAATAATTGTAGCATCGCTATGTATAATTTTCTGATCACTGGATGCTGTTACATATAATAGAAATTATAATGTACTGTTTTTGTCAATTGGCTTATCAATTAATTTGGCATGAAAAAAAGAGCAAATTATATGATAAAAAGACAAACTATATAAATCATATGAAATAAACACAAATAATAACAAGTAGTAAGTATACTTTTACTTGGAGAGATAAGTCAGATATAAAGATATAAAATTATTACATATGCAACAGGTTTTTATGGATTCATTTGTTTTTTTAAACAGAGATAAACCATTTTAACCAAGTTTATGTTAAAAACTATAAATTATACTATACAACTATACTATGTCATTTGTAATACTGACGAAACGAGCATTTCATATTTTTCCATTTTCTTCGTTTTTTTCATACAGAACAAAAACTCCTTCTCCAGCTGGAATAAAAGAAAAAAATGCAAATAGCTATGAGAAATAACAAATCTATGTTAAAAACCAAAAAAATTGTAAATTAAAAATTTTTTATTACCACATAGGTTATTTCTTCACATAATATAAATGATTCTAAATATATACAGGGTGTCTTTAACACATTACATCACCCATCATGAGCAGGTAGAGTGGACCAAACTGAGTCGAAAAGTTCTTTACCATTTTGCAATTTTCGCAATAGTTAACGAGTATTAATTACTAAAAATCGCTGAATATTGGTCTTCAACAATTTTTTACTCAAATACTATCAACTTTACAGAAAAACAGCAAGAGACAAAAATTATTTATTTTCTCGTTTTTTTTCCAGTTTAGTCCGCTCTATCTTGCTATGATATTCTGATGCGGTAATTTCCGGACACCCTGTATAAACAAATATATATAAATATATATAAACAAAAAATAGTTTCCCATATTTGAATAATGTATAAGAATGTAACCTACAAATTATGATTTTGAAGTTTAAACTTAGATCGTATTTTTACATTCATCTTCCTTGTAAGCTTCGAAGTCATAATTTGAATATAATTCTCATTATATTCTTATAAATTATTCAAATGTGGGATACTACTTTTGTATGGATGTATATATATATATATATATATATTTAAATTCATTTATATATGTAAAGAAATGACCTACATGATAACTGTAATTTACAATTCGTTTTAGTTTTTCATACAGATTTATGATTTCCCACTGCTATTTGCGTTCTTTTTACTCTGGAGAAGGATTTTCTATTCTGTATAAGGAAAATGAAATGAATAGAAAGACATAAGAAATTGACGAATCATATAACGTTTTCGACCCGGCCAGGTTTGCACCAACCTGGATGCAACTCGATCGGGTCGAAAACGCTAATAGTCGATTATTCTCCTCGAATTCGACTGTTATTGGTCAAATTCTTACAGCTTAAGGCTTAAAACTTTATTGTAGATCCGGACTTAGGTTTGTTCTACAATAGGGTCGCAAGCCCTATTGTAGAATACATATATATTAGAAGATTAACGAAGAAATTAACGAATCAAAGTCGATTATTTTTTTCATATTCAACTGTGATTGGCAAAATTCTTACGGCTTACGATCCTATTGTAGAACAGGCATTAGGGCTGCCGCACATAAAATTCCGTAACAGTGACCGTAAAACGTAAACTTAAGCCGATGAGCCAATCAGGATATTGCTTTAGATCCACGTCATCTAACGGAAATGGAAACAACAGTAAACTTGTCCATAACCTCGCAATAAGGCGAGTTTCAACCGATTGAAATTTGCCTTATGGATAAATTTACTACTATTTCTATTTCCGTCAGATTACGTAGATCTAAAGCAGTATCCTAATTGGCTCATCGGCTTAAGTTTTCGCCTTACGCTTACTGTTACCCCGGATCTACAATAGGTGTTTTAAGCCTTAAGCCGTAAGAAATTGACCAATTACAGTCGAATCCGAGGAGAATAATCGATGTGATTCGTTCATTTCTTATGGCTTAAGGCTTAAAACTCTATTGTAGAGATCCGGACTTACGGAATTTCTTGAGTACAGTAGGCTTGTTCTTTTTGGCTGAACTTTTGCACCAGTTCATCTTTCTCCCTTTTCTCTCCAGGAAGAAAGAAAAGGAAGAAAGATGAACTGGTGCAAAAGTTCAGCCAAAAAGAACAGGCCTAGTGAGTCATCGAAAAAAGTGTTGCAACCTTTGGGCCATGGCACACAAAAAAACTTAAGCAGTAAAATGTAAGCAGTAAGCGAATTGACCAATCACAGTAGAGTCTATAAGGCCATAACATAAGAGTAGCGAATCCAACATGTTGATTTCCTTACTGCTTACGTCTTACTGCCTTAAGTTTTTTGTGTGCCAGGGCCCTTTCTGTGACCCACTGTACTCAACTCAGCCACTGAAACATGACGTCATAAGCAAGAAATAACACACTGATTTTTTTAATCTCATTTGTAAATAACGACAATTTAAATAAAACGGAATAATGAGATCGCTGTAAAATACTTTTAAAAATTCTTGTAAAAATCCTTATTCTTCCTGACAATCAGTAAATAATTGAAAAAGTTCGTGAAGTAAAAATATGCTAGGCATGTATATTGCGTATAAAATATAGTAAATGCACTTTATATACCTTTTTTTATGACTATTTACTGATTATGGCGGGGGAGGATAATGATAATCTCGGCCCATTTTTACAAGTATTTTGAAAGAATTTTATTATTCTTTGTATCCAATTTGTCTTTATTTATAAATGGCGTGCAAGAAAAGTCAACGTATCACTTATGACACATTTCTCACTTATGACATCATGATTATAAAACTGAGATAATAATATAGCTGAGATGAGTATTCAGGAATCTTGAACTTTTTATATCAATGTTCAATAAAAACAAAATATAAATCTGTAAAAAAATTTCATGATTTATAACATTAGCTTCAATAAAGATCAAATTCGCCTTACCTAAGATAATTTAAATTAAAAAATTAAATTTGACATTAAATTCTTAAAATACTTTACTATATTACAATTTTTTATCGTACAAGTTATACAAACTTAACAAGTGCTAATGAAAGAACAAATCAATAGTTATTATCGTGTAAAAAGACTAGGTATAACATTGCACATAATGACAGCTGATTATAATTTGAAGCAAATTTCTGATTAGTGTCGTTTCTAATACCGACTTTATATTGGCTTATAAAATTTGGGATAAATTGGTCACAAATGTTGTCACTACTTTGAATGACTATGCATCCTTGAAATTGGTTTTCCTGGTCTTCTTACACCATCATAATAATAATAATATTATGCAATATTTTATAAGTTTCTTCCAAACAATCCCAGATATCAGAACTATACCTGAAATTAACACAGACTTGGCACTGTGAAAAAACGACTGTCATCTAGAAAATTAATAAATAACGAATACATGTATATATATAATTTGATAGTGATAAAAGTAATAAAATTTGACATGTGCTTTATCGTGTAATGTAGAACATAAAACAGATTACATAAAACACAACATTCTTTGAAAGTTTCATCATATTGGGATTAATAATACATATTTGACGTACGTCATGCTCCACGATCTCATTTGTCTAGGAGTACATTCCAAAACGTTCTCTTCGAGGAAAATTTTACTCGAAATATAGTACACATAACACATACTATAATATATAGAGTAAAATCTTCCTCGGAGAAAACATTGTAGAATGTAGCCTAAATTTACAAAATGAGCAGAATAAGCGTAACGTTTAAAAGAGATTGAGGCATTTTTATCATAGGCACGCCGCAACGAAAACGTAAATCTCTGATAACTCGAAAGATTTATTTTTATAAATTGTACAAAGCGGACGAAAATGTTGGGTCTTACCTTAATTCAGCATCCCAGGCAAGAGAAAGCGTGCGTGCGGAAGAGAGCTGTGCATGTGCCAGGTGTAGAATACGGATCAAAGTGCGAAGTTCGACTAACAGTGAATTGACGGTGCGTTTTTGTGCGTGCCTCGACAGTGCCTTGACGTCGGCGCTCCGTACTCCGTTCCTCATCAGAAGAATCAGGATGCCTCCATGCTGTGCGTTGGCGAACACTAGCAATGTGCTAGCAATTATCATGGTGGAAGAAAACAGATGAGATAATGCGCATAACGGCAATTCAGAGGAATCAGCTAACCAATCAAATTTTGGTGCTAAATTTGGTCCTACTGCGCATTAGGGTGCGGTTACATGGATTGATATTTTCTGAGTAAGGGTGCTATTACATGAGCGCGGAAACGCGGAAATGTGGAAACGCGTAACCAATCAGAAGCAATTCCCTGTTATGGTTTCGCGTTTCACCGATTACTGATTGGTTGCGCGTTTTCGTATTTCCGTGTTTCCGCACTCATGTAATAACACCCTAAGGGTGCCATTACATGAGAGCGGAAACACGGAAACGCAGAAACGCGCAACCAATCAGTAATCGGTAAAACGCGAAACCATAACAGCGAATCGCTTCTGATTGGTTACGCGTTTCTGCATTTCCGCGTTTCCAAGCTCATGTAATGGCACCCTTACGGTACGTCTTATGGTTACTTGCCTAATTTACATCGTGCACTTGATATGGATACGAAGGCTGTGTTCCAAATTTACTGCCAACACTGCTACAGTTTACGTTACGTGAACTATAGATTTTCAGTACTGGCAGTCAATTTTGAAACACAGCCTAACTAGTAACTTTCTATTGAATTATCTTAATTTCGACGAATCGTGTAAACATATATATGATATGTGTATTTAATTAATCATTTTGATGCATATTCTACCAATTTAGTACATCATTCTGTAAATACATTGCTGGAATTAAAATAATTTAATAGAAAGTTCTAGTTAATACGCGTATCAAGTGCTCGGTGTAAAAGAGGTCATAGGTTGCGTGAGATATTGGTGTGATAGTATATAAAGACATGCAAATCAATGCACTGGAAAAACAGCGACCTCTAGTGACTTCGTCGGAGTTCGAGCTTCGCTTTAGGATCCCCTTAAGGGGAGAGCATGCTCTAAATATGTCCCGATATTCGTGTAAAGCGGGGAGTACAGACTCTTGCATAACGCATAATACATAAGGCATAAGAAATTCAACCAATCAGAATAATTCTTTATTTCATGGAAAGGAAGGAAACGAAGAACTTTGATTGGTACATTTTCTTATGCATTACGTGTTATGCGTTATGCAAGAGTCTGTGCTCCCCGCTTAACTTTGAGTGTTAAGACATTCCTATCCCCGTTGTAGAGTACAATATGAAGGTTGGTAACACACCGCGCAAGTAATTCGACTAGGCGGATTTTTAAAAATACTTATATCTACATAATGGCAGCGCGAGATCAGTTCTTCACAGATCTCCGCTAGTTGCGTCGGAAAACGGTTTGTTACAATTGACTGCATTCGTGTTGTGTATTTTCGCGAGGAAGACAAAAAGCACGCTAGAGTGAGTAAAATGATCAATCGCGCAGATTTGCTCATCCTGATCTACTTTTTTCGCGCCGAAACAAAATCGAGTCTTTCTCGATATCGATAGAATTATCCAGTTTTTCTTGGTCGTAAACATCAGTTATTCTTTCTCTATACAGTTTTTATATAGATGAACGAAAAAAGGACAAATGAACTTTTTCATCTAGTTGCTACACTGCATTTTATAGCGTTTTATTCTTTTGTTTGCATTCTCTCTCTCTCTCTCTCTCACTCTTTTTCGATCTTCTTTATCACTCCTGATCACTTTTTTAAATATTTTTATCAGTATAATTTTCATTTATTTTATATTAAAAGCGTGATTTATATCGTAATCATATTTCTTTTATATCGCGACGTTTGCTAAACTTTCGCAACGTTTGCTAATCTTAGAATTTGATCATTAATTGGCGAAAATGCTGCTAATTCCAGATTGAACTATGAAAGTCGTGCATATTTCGTTTATCGTTTTACAAATTTTTATTTTATTTTTGTTTTTTCAGTAATTACGTCCCGGGAAAAAATGTTATATACATGGACATATTTTATATATAATTATATATAATTGTGTGTATAAAATATTTCAATTTTTTCTATAATTATATATAATTATAATAATTTATGAAACATTTTTTCCTAGGATAACATACTGTTATCACTGTTGATCATCAAGATGTATATATCTTAACCACACGGATTACGCGCGAAAATAGAACTAGGTTTATAAGCTCTTATAAATCACAAAGCTGTTCTTTTGTATTATGTTGTACTCTCTTTGCATGTAAAAATAATATTTTTGCACGTAAAATAATATTTTTATATACGCTTCTGTGCGGAAGGAAACAAAAGAGGAAAAATATTGGAAGAAAGAGCAGAAAAACATAAACTTATATATAACGAAATAAATAAACTTATACCTAAAACAAGAAAAAATATTTCTTTATTTTTATTTTTAATAACACACACACACACACACACACACTTCATTTATTTCTATTTTTATTCATATATTACTTCTTTGATGGTTGTCATTAAGTAATGTTAATTTATAAGATTTTTAACAACAAATTTATTTTTTATTACATAGTAGTTACTTATGATCTGTTTGAACATTTTTTACATTTTTTTACTCTTCTTACATCTATACAGGGTGTCCCGTATAATTTTTGCCAACCGCTTTTGTGTAGATAGAGCGGACTAAACTGAGTCGAAAAGTCTTCTACCATTTTGCAATTTTCGCAATGGTTAACGAAATATTAATTACTAAAAATCGTTGAATATATTGGTATTCAATAATTTTTTACTCAAATACTATCAACTTTACAGAAAAATAGCGAGAGACAAAAATTATTTATTTTTTTCTTATAAAGTTCTGAAAATTTTTTCAGAATTTTTTAATACCGTATTTTCTCATGTTGGTAAAAATAAGAAAATGCAGTACTAAAAAGTTGATAAAAAATTTTGAAAAAATTCTTAGAGTTCAATGAGAAGAAAATAAATGATTTTTGTCTCTTGCAGTTTTTTTGTAAAGTTGATAGTATTTGAGTAAAAAATTATTACGGACCAATATATATTCGGCAATTTTTAGTATTTAATATCTAAATTTTTCAAAATAAGGAAAAAACACACACATATGCATATATATGTTCATATTTATATCTTATGTCAGTTTCTCATTTATATCATTACGTTCTATTTATTTGATAAAACTGTACAATGCATTGTACAACAAAGATTAAAATAAAATTCGGTTGTTTTAATAAAAGAGTTGATGAATTCTCTAGGCGGAGTGCAACTGCAATCTGCTGGTGTACTTATATAAAGGGTAAAACGAATGTATTACACTTGAAACATATGGCTTGATGGCTATAATGGACCATATGGCTCTTCGAAGGCATCTATGTCTATAAATAGCTCCATACATTTCATTCCTTCATCACTTTCATCTAAAGAAGAAAGACTCTGAAAGCTGTGTCATAACTTGAGAAATAATTCTTTATTTATACAAAATTAACATAACAATAAGTTATGTTAATTAAAAACAAGATTGTTTTGTGAATACATCGTCTAAATACGAGATTTTCGGTCGAAGTTAGATATTAAACTAATACATATATATATTTTTAAATAAATTTATCTCAGAATATGATCGTGCGCCGCATACTTTCGAATCTTTAACACAATCGATTTGAAATATTAATAATGCTTCCAAATTTAATTAGAAACATCTTAAAACTTGTAAAAAACTTAAAAATCAATCCATTTAAATTTAAAGATTAATCCCTGATAAATATTTTAGAATTTTTATAAAAAATTCTTATAATTTAGAATTCTTATATTTTAGAATTAATTATAAAAAATTTTTTGTCGAATTCTTATTATATAATTTTTTAAAATTTCTATATAACTTTGCGAGTTGATTTTTGATAGGTTGCAAAAAATTTTACAATTTTTAAAAGAGGCTACAAATTTTTTCGCGACGGCGTTCAGGGATCCCGGGAAAAAATATTTCATATATAATTACATATAATTATATAAAAAATTGACATTTTATATACAATTATGTATAATTATATATAATATATGTCCATATATATATATATTTTTCCTGGGATTGTTTTATTTCTACATTTTTTTGTATCTTTCTTCATAAAAACCGAAAGTTATCATAATAATTCTGCTTAAGGAAAAATTGATACATTGAAATAAGGAATAAAATCCTTATTCACGTTAAGAAAGCGCTGTCAGTTATACTTTAATCGTTTAAAAACTAATTTAATTGGATCAACAAGAGAATGTAGAAATAAAATGAACGGTCGCGAAAAAGTAAAAGTTGAATATACTCTCCTTACATTTTATTACTTCGCGTAGTTAACAAATTTCCGCGAATGCGATCTTTATTCATGTGTGAAGTTGGATGTTCAACAATGATAAGAAACAAAACCAAATAAACTGCAATAATTACACTGTCCAACTAAATATTTCGGAAATATTCATAAAAGGTTCTTAAAATCCTAAAAAAAAACGTTTCAAGAGCATTTCAAAACGTTCCGAAATATAAACGGAATGTAAAAGTAACATTCAAATATCGATTAAAAATTCCACTTATATTACATATTTCAAAAATGTCCCATATATATTTCACAAAATTTTAATTTTTCCGGAAATTCCAGGTCCAATGATCCCTGAATCACTTTTTAAACAAAACTATATACTAATTATCAGTTATAAAGTTGCTCTTTTTTTTCGATGAGTTTCGGAATGCAAACTATTCACCGAACGATTACTCAATCAGCAGACAATGTTTTTAAAAATATATATGTTTTTAAAAATATTTAAAAAAACGTTTTTAAAAACGCGTTAAAAATAATGGGTTAAGTCCCCCTTTTTTGGTTAAAAAGCGTTTATTGTAACATTTGAAGAAACATTTTTTTTAACGCTTAAAAAATGTTTATTTAACATTTGAAGAAACATTTTTTTAACACATTAAAAAAACGTTTTTGATGTTAAAATTATTTAAATAAAATTAGAAAAAATAACGATGTAGAATCTTTTTAAATTTATTTTTTTTATCAACGGTGCCTACAACTTTAGACAATTAATTTTATTAATAAATTCTAATTTTTAATTATAATATATTTTCATCTTTTTTACTT